CACAAATGCACACTTGCATTGCCTACTAAGAAAGTTAGTACCGGTAGTCATCGGGTTAAGGTAAAGGGATGAGAGGCAACATAAAAAGGTGTTAAGAAAGACAAGAAGACACAAAAACTGGGCACTAGAAAGTGAAGTAGAAGTTAAGGGGTCTGTCCCCCAAGTAGGTAAATGAGATTCCAAAGATTAAGAATCAAGGAAAGGAAATGATGAATGGCTGTTAGCCAGGACAAAAGAATCAAGCACGTGAGAAGGACAGGGCATATAAGTATGGGGCATAGTTGTTCAAGAAACAAGTCTGCCTGAACTCTAATATCAGGTGAAGGAGGGAAGACAAAGTAGTATTCAGAATGGGTTTCATGTAGTAAAGAATGGGAAGAATCAAAAGACTGAAGAAAGAGAAAGAAAAGAAAATATCTGTGAAATCATGTCAAGAAAAAGATTATAAGGTTGAAAGAGGATTTTCTTCCACAGGTAAAGCAATACCTTGTGCAAACTTTGATGGAGGAAAGAACTTGTCAAAATCATCATCCCGAGAAGATGGACAATTAGCCAAATGGATGGGAGGAAGAGGCTCAGTGTGTATGAAGTAACCCATAACATGTTGAACAATGGCTGTTGCATTCTCCACAGACAACGAGCCACTTGTAGCCACAGATCCTGCAATAGTAACATTGCAACCATCACAGGACAAAGTAAAAGTTACCATTACTTGAGAATTCATAATGGGTATGCAGGAAACTTTTTTCCCCTCTTTTTCACAGTAATGAAAGAAATCAGATAAACTTGAACAAAATTTATGTTTGGTTAATTATCGCACACCCAACATAATTAAGTAGTAAGTTTAATAAACATGTCTGTAGTACAAGTGCTTAGGGAGGAGTTACTTCACAGGAAGTTTATATTGACCTCCTATTAGTAGAGGGCTACCATTGCATTACGATAACATAACTTTTAGGTGGTAATTAGCTAGCTCAAGGCTAGTGACATGCAAGACTCATAGGCAGATACATGAGGGATCAAACTATTCTACATGCAAAGGTGAGATACAATATCAGAATTAATGTTCAACTTGTTTTGTGTTGTTAATGTGCAATGTGCTTTTGGTGCTTTGTAGGAACTGTAAGCACATATTTATTTTTTGAATAAAACAAAGACATAAAAAGCTATTCTTAACAACACTAAATTACCTATTTGTTACTACATATTACTTTTGACAGCCAATAAAATATGGGAAATATCAACATATGAAGCAATGAAATAGCCCTAATATTACAGCACTGGAATATCACCCACTGATAACTACCTCTCAATCAACTTATTTTTCCTTCCAGAAAGCCATTTTCAAATTCCACTTATCATACTTTCCTATTTTTGTAATAAAAATGTAAACAAAGTAAATATTTATGTTGGGTGAGACGCTGATGGCATTTTAAAGTTTCAGTCATGACAGCTTTACTTTCCACAGGAACCTCAATCTTGTTTTGGTTTGATGAACATATGTATGTAGTAAAACCTCATACTTTATCTGTTATTTTCTCTACCCTAACTCTATACAACTTTGGTCAATTTGACCGACCTTGTAACCACCAAAAAAAATTAAATTACCCTCTTTTTCTTTCTAGAATGACTTCAAATGTAACATGAAACTATATTCATTTATCTTAAGTAGCTTTAAACTCGTAACAGTATACACCTATTTATAATTAAATTTTATTGTTTTATTGCTCTTTGAACCATGTCTAACTACTATTTGCACCATTATAAACTGTAAATCACTTGGGAAACATGCAGCTCCCATTATGCTATCAAATTACATAACTCACAAGCTACTCACATGCATGCTTTGTGAAATATATTTATAATATAATTATTTATTTTACCTAATCTAACCTTAACTAACCTAAAGAGGTCCCTATTTTTACATTTTAGTTACTTTGATAATAAAAATAAAGAATAAACACGAAAAACAAGAAATAAGGTATTTACCCACGTCTTATTTTGCTGTCGACTGTCAATGATACTTAACTCTGCTTTTTTTATACTAATGATAGTAGTGCACTAAAGTTTTATTTAATTAAATAATGCACCAAAGAACATAGAATAATAACATGTAAAAAGCAGACAATTTTCTCTCTAACTATTAGAATTTTTTCTGGCTTTCTAAGTGTGCGACAAGAGTCGTTTCAAATTCATCAAAGCTAGTTGTTATCTTTCTCGTGGAAAGAAGCTTGTACTAAAAGAGAAATTGACAATCCTCTGTTCAGAACACAATGTAATATAATACGTCATTTGATAGATGAAAACCTTGGCTTTTTATTGGTTATAGATAATACAGAATTAAATGTAAGACAGAATTATTAAGAAATCCTGATAGAGAGGATGCAACAGTTGGGTGTGGCAAGAGGTGTCTGATTTTTTATTTTGATGGCGCTGTAACCAAACAAATTTCAAAACTATAAAAATTATGGTTTGTCTGAGCAATAACAATTTTATACTGAATAATTAGTAACTTACGTTGAATTTTGTACATATTGGAGGGGTGTTAAATAAAATAGAGAAGATGGGATGCCAACAGAAAATTTGTCACCTTTCCACACTAGGGTAAATTCAGGATTTTTTTAAATATTGCCTTATAAAATTAAGAAGTTAAAACATATATACTATTAAGATATGTATTATTAG